TACTTCCAATTCATTTGCCATGACTACCCTTCATATATTACATTATTTACACTCATGGCAGTTATTCCAAGGTGTTTGCTGTGTATATCTGGTGGAATGTGATTGAATTCATGTATGATTTATACACTTAGAGTGGGGAGTAAAAGAAAAAAAAGACCAAATCCATCCTGGGCCCTACACATCATCACCTTCTCCACTCAGCCCCCATTGTGCTTTGACAGTTCACTATTTGAAGGGCTACCAGTTAATGGTTGGGATGAAGAGGACTAATGAGAGTCTCCATTGGTGATGAAACACCTCAATCCACTACTAAAATCATCTGGGCCCATGTATACTGAAGGCTGACATAAGCATATGAAAGATAAATGGGTATGGCCATAAAAGGCAGCTGAAAGGGAAATTGTGGTGAGGAAAAAAGTACCACTCATTTTGGGGGCATTTAATGTTTAGTTCAGTGGAATAGCATGTAAGTTCTTAAACTTAAAAATGTGTCACTCAGTACATATCTGCAATGTAAATCATTCTTGAAATTTAAAAGTCTTCCCTATTTATCCTTTTTTTTTAAAGATTATTTTTTGTGTTGACATGCACCAAACAGCGTCAGGATTGTAAGGTCGGGGCGCTGGTGCCGCAGTGGTTAATCCCACCTGTGGCTCCTTTCCCTCATGTCATTCCCCACTCTCTCTCCCTGATTTCCAACTCTAGCCACTGTCCTATCTCTCCATTAAAGACACACAAAAAGCCCAAAAATAAATCTTAAAAAAAGGTCAAACTGGGACCAGTGTGTGAGGACTGTAGCCTTTGTACATGGGTCGCCTGTTCTACCAACTCAAGTAAACCTCTCACCCTATTTGTTGTCTTTTTGTAAAAAGAAAAGAAAAGGAGGACATATGTTTGAAATTCCAGGAGTAATCATTTCTTGTTTTTGATTTTATGCTGTGTTCAGTTTAAACAAAAACCCACAACAACATTGTAGCGAAGCTGAAATCAAAGAAGATAAGCATATCTTTGTTTCTATTTCAAACATCCAACATCCTCTGTGGCGATGGAAATTCTTGCTCAAGGTGGAAATTAAGCACACCCTCATTCCAAACCGCCCACCAGCCCACCCATCCAGCCCCTTTAATATATGCCTGTGCTGTAAGCGTGTTTTCATGCAACGTGACACTCAGTCAGGAGGCATCAGTGTGACAATGTGCCACAGACATGCTGCAAAAGTGTGAGCAAACAATGGAGAAATCGCTCCAAAAGTGTGATGCATCGTGGGCATTCTGGTTTGATTCTGAAACACCAGTTGTCGGGCAGAATACAAACATCATGTAAACGGGTTGTCTTGACATAATGCTCAAGCTACAGAATGTTTTTTTATAATGTGAAAAATCAAACATGTATCCTTCTGTGTCTCAATTATTTGCATGATTGCTGCACTGGTTACAATGCAGCAAGAAATAATTGGAAAACATGATATAATTCCATAAACAACATAGTGTATTGATGCACAGACAAACTGCCCACTCTTGTCATCTGGTGCATGTTCATCTCTAAATTGCATTTGCATTAGTGACAGCTCATCAGACTCAGGAGAGCAATCCTGTTGCCAAGGTGAGCTGTGTCATAATGCTCTGAATGTTTTTCATGTTGTTTATCAGTCAGTGAGAAAAAAAAACCCAGAAACAAATTAACTGTAAAAAATTTGGCTTTGAGTGGCATCTAAATTGAAGTAATTTTGGACTTCAAGTGTCCAACGTTTGTCTGTCAGACATTACATTTAAAAATATTAGTACAATATTTGCTTGTACTTTGTTAGGTAATTCTTTTAGTATGTTAACACATGTGGCATGGGTCAAACAATAGAATCAAAAACATGTCAAATATATATTTTTTGAAACATGGTTTAAGTCATTACAATTCTGATTCACGCTAATGAGGTTAGTGTTTATTTTTCTGAGAAGTTTAGTTTAATTCCTTATTGATAAAGATGTGATCCCATTGATTGACAGCTCTGTTGACAAATGCCGCTCCTGTGAAGCTGTGTGCACTGAATTAGCAGAGTAGAGGAGGAACAGTGAGAGGAAACATAACCAATACTGACACAAGAGTCCTTGAACTTTCTATAACTGTGAGTGTCTGCTTCAAACACACACAAAAAGCTTTTACACTTTAGACTGTAATGACCTGAGGGATCTTTACCATTTTCTATGTAAGTTCAAGGAGTACTTTGTTAGCAGAAGGGGGTTGGGGTAAGGGGTCCATTAGCCTATCACTACTGCATAGAGTCTGAAGAGTCTTAAATGTGCAATATGCAAGCAGAGGGGGAGTATTTGGCTTGGCTTTAACAGAATCACGTGAAGACACGTCACCTAGATTTAAATACAGTCACTGGTACATTCTTGTGCCTATATAGAATACAACACTCAAAAGATTGGGTTCAGCTTAAGAAAGAAGTATGTTGTATAAGTCTTTATATCTGGATTTTATGGAGTCAACTAGTAGCAGCTTGCTCTTGAACTGAATCTTTTTTCTTTAATCATAAAGCCCTGCAGTGCAAATCAACAGTTATGTATCCTGCATGACATTTAGTCAAACAGAATAATACATACTGTGCTGTTTAACTTTTAACAAGCAAAGCTCTGCATCCTGAAATGAGTGTGTGTGTGTGTGTGTGTGTGTGTGTGTGTGTGTGTGTGTGTGTGTGTGTGTGTGTGTGCGTGTGTGTGTGTGTGTGTGTGTGTGTGTGCATGTCTGAGTGTGTGTGCATGGTCGATCATCATATATATTTAAGGAAGGCTGTGAATTTATTTGATGATCTTTTTCCAAGATCCCACATACGACACCTGAATGAGAGCTTGATATTTATTGCAGCGATTGCATGCTGTGAGTTCTCTGACTTATTCCCTGCTGCGGGACACCTGACACCTTCTCTTTGATGTAAGCCTTTCAGTTCATAAGTCCTCAAATATATGGGCACTTTCACAACTCAGAGAAGGGGTTTATCTGTCGGGGGGGGTTATCAGAAATGATTTGTTGTTGATTTTATTTCCATCCCCAGAAGGTTATGGCTGCATAAATAAATGCTTCCAAACAGGCGACCTGATGATGGAGCTGTGGCATAATCTGTGAGAAGAAAGGAGAAAACTGGGAGAAACTTTCTCAACCAATAAGCTACGCTCAGATTCAAATGTGTCCCATATTAGTGTGTGTGTGTGTGTGTGTGCGTGTGCGTGATTTGTTCTCCTATGAATGCATGTTGTTTGTGAAGCTATAACTAATTAATGCATTTTTCTGTTCATCTGAAAGACCTCCTTGCAGTTTCACATTCAAAGCATTAGGATCCTCTGTTATGTCAGATGAAAGCCTAATCACACATCACCCTTAATCCCAAAGCTCAGTAATAGCAGTCAATTCAAGAGTATGAAAGTCGATTTTCTTGTGCATCATGTGGCATCTGTGAAGGTCTTATATAAAAACAGCTTTTCTTTGCAGACACGGAAATTGGCTGTCTCAAGTTTTAACCTTTAAAGTAGTTCTTTTTTACTGTTAAAAAGACATGCCTGGATACAGCATTTCACCCGCTGTGTGTCAACTTTGATAGAGTGCTGTTCATGACAAACATCCAAAACTGAAGCACCTTTAAAAGAGCTGTTTCTCTAATGAGCTACACTAAGATCAGACTCTTTTCTGCCTCCCGTGTCGCTCAGGTGAAGAGCAGTTTGGAATAAATAATCCTTTGATAATGGCCAAAGAAGCAGCAACATCCCTCGCCCTCCTGCCATCATTAAACTGGTGTTTCACACTCTTTGAATCAGTGAATTTTAACTAATGGCTTCACACATTTTTTGCCTCCAGCATTTTTCCTCGACTGCCTTTAAGTAGCTGAGGCAGTGATAAAAATGAGATCTGATGTTCTGTGTTTTGTGTAAGGCCAAACTGCAAGAGAGTTATTCATAGCTGAAGGACATTCAGCAATATTGAATAAAATAAACATAAAACTACATTAAACATTTATTATAAAATGTCATTAAAATTAAATTGACTATCAGTTTCTTCTACTTTTCTTTTTAAAGAGTCTTTTTCATCCTATTATCCCCAATTATAATTAATCTTACAGTTATTTAGAAATGTCCCTTATCTTAGGGACATTTCTATGAAAAGTGACCAGAAACTGACCCCTGACCTTATAACTTGAGCGTATTTTGGAAGGACAAATGATTTCTGACTAAATGATTGTTTTGTTGATGACTGGATTTCATAGGTGCATTTTTTGACTCTGCTGTCTGTTATATTGAATTATTTACAATAACAGACCCCCGCTATATGCAGCTGACTGTCTGTACAGAGACAGTTCTAATAACAGACTTTGGAGGACTCAGCCTGTTCACAAAGGAGAATATAAGAAGAGAAAAACAGCACAGTAAAACCAAGATACATATAAAAAACTGTTTTACGATAGATGTGTCTGCAAATGTTAAATGTTAGAGATCTTGGATTGTTCTTTTGAGGTTTGTTTCCCCTGAAATAACCCACTCACTAAACATTATCCCTAACTATGCCCGCCAGCAAAAGCAAAGTAACCAACATAAACTGCTGTACATAAACCAAGTGCACCAACATGGTAACTAACCTCTGCTATAACTTAACGTAACATAACTGCACATGCTTACCAGGAGCTAGCAAGTCTGGTTGTCCTCTAAGCTAACATGATCACTATCAAGGTGCAACGTCATTGCTAGCAGCTAGTGTAGTTACCGTAATGTCATTTGGATTTAAATAGTAGTCTAAGAAAGTCTAAGAGCGTAAACACAAGTCAGCTCTCATGTTCGGCTGTGGTTGGCTTGCTTACTTAAGCTGCCATGAAGTGACAACATTAAAAAAAAAAAAAAAGTTCATATTAGAATAGATTTTTTTTGTTTTATTGTATATACTTGACCCTATTTGTTCACATGAAAATATTTTTTGTAATGTCTTCTTTTTTCGATGTAAAACTGAACATGCCCTCTCACCTCGCACCACAATGGTGGTGGACTTCTTGGCCGGGTTGCCCACGTTGTTGCTGGCCATGCAGCTGTAGACCCCCGACTCATCCGAGCTGATGGCTGGCAGAGTGAGTGTGCCCCCCTTCACCACGCTCCTTTGTGGAAGGCTGTCGTTGCTGCTGACCCAGGTGAGTGTGGGCGGCGGCTCTCCGCCTGTGGTGATGCACACCAAGGACACGGTCTGACCGGGATTCACCACGATGGGATCCTCCACCAGCAGCTTGATGGACGGCGAGGCTGTGGAGGAAGAGAGTGTGGAGTCTTAGAGAGATTGGCAGGAGATGAACAACTTTGGCAGATATGACAGCTGAAAGACTAAACACCACTTCATCTGTCTGCTTCCACTTCCATCATTCTTCTTTATTTATTAAGACACCTTCATTTAATTTGCTGTTTTCAGACTGAAGTCTACTTGGAAAAAGAAGCTTAATCACTGAAGAAGCACACAGAGTTCGGGTTTACTCTTCTTTAAAAATGTTCATGCTGAAATGTCATAAAGTACCTGTCTTATTGGTGAGTTTGAAGATGACACTGCGGTCAGGGATCCCACACACGTTCCTGACCGAGGCGATGCAGCTGTAGTTGGCATAGTCCTGAGGACGCAGGTTCTTCAGCTTCAAAATCTTCGTTTCCCCCTGCAGCTCAGACCAAACCAACACCAGTATGCAAATGTGTGCAAAAACATCAGCATAATCAAGTAATAGAAATGCAAAAAAAAAACCTAGGTAGTGGAAGAGAGATGACAAAGGCCACACAGCTCCAACGAAAAGGTCAAGGACATGAATATTTATAACGTTTTAATGAAGCCAAAAATGAAAAGGAACTGTAGCTGAAGATATTACTGTAAAAAGCCTCTAAAGAATATGCTGGTATCTCTAGTGTCCGCTTGCCTAATGTGAATGTGTGGATTACTTTCCATGAAATGGCCCTGCAGCCTTTTCTCCTTTCTGCTACACAAATATATTTGGGCTCAGTTGGGGGTCCCTCTACAGAAACGGCTCCTTCACTCTGAATGTATGTCGGATTCCAGCCGCGCCTGTCAAAACTGTAAGCCCCGCCCAGAAGGCTAGCATGAGGAGATAAACCTTTGATCTAAAAGTCTGAATAATGTGGTTGGTTGGTTGGAGTGAGCCATGCACTGCGGCAGTCCAAACAGCATGACAATCTCTCCTGTCCGTTGAACCCTTTCATATCGAGATAGCTTAATCGCATCAAATTAGCCACAGACGAAACACTCCACTTCATTTCTTTTTCAGTCACTTTCTTTGCTTTGGAGCAGATATGAAGACATGAAGTCAATGTTTAAAGAGTGCAAGCTTTACTCACAGCTGGGGGGAAGATTTGAAGGGGAAGTCTGTTTGGAAAATGCATGGGCCAGAGTAAGGAATGAAAGGACAAACACATTTAAGTGAACTGGACAGGGGGATTGATGGCTATATTGATGGAAAGACTAAAGCACACCTTTGGCTGTTGGTAAAGGGCAAAGAAACTTTGGAGGAGTGTATTGTTACTAGCTAGTAAAAAAAAAAGTATTTCTCCATTTTTGTTCTTGTGTTTTAAATGCTTCTCTTAGGTAAGAGAAGTAAAACCAGCAGGATGAACTTAAAGAAAGAAAACGTTTCATGCTAGCAGCAGGGAAGAGTGTTAACTACACAAGCAACAAGAAAATGAGTGAATAAGCTGAACAAAAGAGCTATAAGGAAGTGTCAGAAGTGACATGAATAACAATGTGTTCCTTAATGGGTTTTAAATGGATACCTCCTCAAGTTTTACACAACATGTTAAAAAGAGAATATCACACAGCGAGGAAACATCAAACCACGTCACAAACTTCAAAATGTATCAAATTATGAGAAAAGGGTGAAAATCTGACAAGGGTTGAGAAATGGCTCGTTTACACCTGTGATAATTGTGCAATTTTCTGACACTTCGAGGGGGAAATTATGAAGGGAGAGGTAGAGGAGAAAGTGCCAGACAGCAGAAAGGACACGGTTTCACAATGAAAGCACAGCTCTGGGACTGACTTAATTGTGAACCTGTTCTCCCATAGAGAGTTTGAAATGCCACCACTGCATTTCTACAGCAGCGGTTGGAATATATAAAACATTCTTTAGACCGAGAAGAGTTCAGCCGGGAGGGGAAATCAGTCAGGGAGAGAGGAGGCCCGGTTCTGGAACAAAATGACCTACGGTAGGGTGCATCTGAGATTAAAGGGGGTGCAGCTACAGTGACCAGCATCAGCAATGACAAATAGCGTAGGTGTTGTGACGGGTCATGTGCCTTTATTACTTATTGTTAATTTAGGGTGCAGAAATTTAAAATGAGGTCGCAACGCATGCTTTTGCACCCTCGTAGAACCGGGCCAGGTAGAAAGTTAAAGAGATGAAGTTAATTCACAAAATCTAACCATTAGAGGTTTGGCTGAATTGCAATGGACTCACCCTGACCTTGCCTTGGCTAAATTTGGTCAGTAATGAATATTTAAACTCAGATATATTGCTGGAAAATAATGTTATTATCCTCTATTATAAGGGAGATACAATGAGTTTAATTTTTATTTATTTATAATAAAGTTCATCTCAGCGTTTGTGTTGCGCCTTCATTTTCAGACCCAATTAGAGCTTTAATAGAGGTGGGGATGATGGAGTGAGGGGAGGGAGAAAAGAAGTAATAAGAGTAAGATGGAAAAGAGAAAAGAAAGTGTCAGATGAAGCCGACTGAAGCCCCTTTCATTAGTTCTAATACATCTTCTCCATTTGACCAAACATCATTTGAATGTCATTATTTTTCTCTCCTCTGTTTCTTTTAGTTTTCCATTCTCTCTGTCGTCCAGTCCAACATGAGAATTGCATTCAGCTCAGTCAATTCGGACTCTATGATCCCTTTACAAGTGACAGAACAATCTCAATCAGTCCTTTCTTGCCTGCTCAAGATCCCCCTTTCCAGAACAAAAGCTTCTCAATTTCCAAATTGTAAAGAAGATCCACCCAGTTGAAAGCGCTGATTATGCAATCTTTCTGTGTCTTTCTGTGTCTTAATCTTCACAAAGAGAAAAGAAAAAGAGAAAACTTTATGAAACTGGGTTAGGAAAACTAATATTGGGTTAATAAGTACAACTTTACCAGTCTAGCCTGCATCCCAATGCTACTAACTGTCATTTCTTATACTGTAAAGGAGTACAACAAATAACAGCATTATCACCACAGCACGTTACGTAGGAGTATGTCACCTTTCAAACAAGGTGCTGTGTTGATTCATTCATTAGCAGCTGTGGCTTACTCATCTCCTTTGTGAAAAAGCAGGACGTGTGTTTGTTGTGACAACATGTTTCACATCTCTAGCTCATTGTCAGAAGAGGGGGATAAAGGGCATTAATAACAGATTTGTACTGTCTCTTTACAGCCTGATAGTATATGTAGAAAACCTTCATGCGTGTGGTCTTCTGATCTTCCCTACGTCTATGCGATTTGCAACCTGGACAACATTTGAGCCTGCAACCCTACACGTAAAGTCGGAGTAAATGACGTTTGTGTTTTCTAGACTTTACTGCCAATTTCCATATACTCTGTGCGTGCTGCAGTCCGTCAACACTGCGCATTACGCCGCTGTTTGCTGCTACTCTAGTCAACTCTAGTCAGAAATGCAAACAGCATCCAGTCAATTCCAAAATGAAAACACACCATCACTTTAGCAGCATTATGTCAAAACAGGCCTCAAACTAACAACAAATCAACCTCAGACAGAGAAAGCAACATGTCTCTTGCATGTTTTTCTCTTTATTCCCGCGTGATCTTGTAGTTCTCCTGCAATGTGTGTACAGCTGCTCATGGCTGCTCTCCGCTTTGCTCACGCTCCAGAAACGGAAATCCGTGGTACAGAAGGGCCGCAGCGCGCACAGAGTATGTGAAAATTGGCAGTTATCCTTAAAGAGGTATAGCAGCGGTGCATGTCTTCAGGACAGACGACATAAAGAACGAATATTTGACCCTTCATCCATGTGTATAAAACAACACATCTTTATCAGTCTCTGCCCCGTCTCTCTAGTTAGATATCGTCACCTCCATCACTTCGCCTCTGTCTTACCTGTGTGAAAAACGGCTCGTAGATCTCCACTCCCTTGTCCGAGCCCTGCGTCAGGACCTCCCTCCCTCGATGCCAGCTGTAGCGGACGGGCGGGTTGGAATTGGCCACGCAGCGCAGAAACACAGTCCTCTCATAGTAGAACTGTTCTTTAGCTTCTCCTATACTCTGGTGTACCGTCACAATGGGGTCATCAAGGTCTGTGAGGGGAACATAAGCAGAGAGGAAGAATATGTAAATTAACACTTTTCCATGAGTTGTTCAGCCGGTGAAAAAGTCCTCTTGGATGAACCAATCATACAGAAGACATTATGCAATCTTTTCATAATAAATCAAACCTGTTGAATCTTTCCATCATCAATGAACATAATAAAACACTCTCTTAGGATTAATGCGTCGACTTTGAGGGTAAAGTTTTGACCTGAAGGGTCAGATTTCTGGTTTCATTAGGAGAGCATGTTATCAGCATTCACACAAGAGTCGATGTGTGAAAGGATGTGAGAAGCCCTCGACAAGAACTTACTTTAGTCAATAGGATGCAGCCCAAGGGCATATTCACTTTCAGCATCAGCGGACGATAGGCAACGTGTTCCAAGTCGCACTCCATTGAGAGCTTCAAGCATGAGCGAGGACAAACAAATCCTGTGCACAAAGTGTTTGATGTCCTTCACTTCAAAGAAGAATGTTTGGCTGGCCTTTGCTCTGACTTAGGCTCTCCGTGATTTGACACATCTGTTCCTCTACCCCATTCCCCAAGACATCAGAGGGAAGATTTTATTTTTACCCCAACACTAGACAGTTGGTTATTTGAGAAGGCACTTTTGGTTGATTAAATGGATTCAAAGTTAATCATCTTACCCGGCTATCGCATTAAGCCTTGGCAAATGGTGTTCATCATAGCTGTGGTGTCTTTTTAGCATGCTAATACACGCCTTTTAGATTATGTCCATTTGCACGCTCAAAGAATGTTGGCAGCTAGCTGCTCCTCTTTCATCTCTGTCAGAGATGCAATCAGTTTTTAACATGAGCAAAAAAAGGGGTAAATTAAGGGAGAGGAAGAGAGGAGCGAATGCAAGTTATCCGTCATGCAAAAAATCTGGCTGATAGAGAATGACCTTTTGCATATAAAGAGGAAGTGATTGAGTGTATAAACGAGTAGGTTTATCAGTGAGTGAGCAACAAGGCCAATGATTGAGTGATTGTAAACGGCGCCGTGTGAATACATGAGTGAGAGAGCACAAGTAGCTCACAATAAATGAATACCTAAATGTTTAATGATTACGAACCTCCAGAGAAAAAGCCTCAGGTATTATTAATGGATAAATTCATTGCTTTTAATTCACTGGCTGCGGCCCGCCCCTGGATTTGCAGAGGATCAGGTCCTAATCAAGGCGTCTGTGGTCCACAGCGCAGCGAATCCAGCCTCCAAAACGCCAGCCAGAGAATGCTGATTCCTCAGTTTCATTAAAGACATGTTCTGCCCTACAGCCCCTTAATCAAAATCTAGCGCCGGTCAATACTTCATCCAGGATCCATTACAGTGTCTCAGGTAAGAGCAATTACCTTTGGGGAGGGTGGGGATAAACAGGGGCGGGGGTGACAACGCTGCGGAGAAGACAGAGCGATTGCGGGGCCATTTTAGAGGAGCAGATTGCTCTAAGTAAATACACTGATTCATTATAGAGAGGAGGGGGAGAGTATGAATCCTACATTTTATCTGTGGCTCTACCCGGCTCCCTGCTCATCTGTTTCCTGCTTCTAACAGTCAATTTGGCAACTGTAGCAGGAATAGAGTGATTCATTGACAGCCCTATCTGCCTTGGGATGCATGTGTCTCTGTACGTCAGACCTGATAGTATGTTGTCTTTTTGTGTGCATTGTGTGCATGTGTTTCTGCATGTTTGGGTATCAGGTTAGGAATAGTTTGAGCTATTAATAGGGCCAAAATGATATGCAGAGAGGGAGTGGATGCTAAGAGCTCAAGGAGATAAATATGGAAATATGGAAATGTACGCACTGGATTAAAATTTGATGAATTTCAAACAAAATTCCACCTCCACCATCAGTCTTTCCTCCTGTAAGGACGGTGTGTGTGTGTGTGTGTGTGTGTGTGTGTGTGTGTGTGTGTGTGTGTGTGTCATTCTGGTGCAATTAGCTTCAGAAGTCACGCTTGACTGATTGTGAAGCTTAAATCCTCGAGCCCAGAGGAAAAATGCCGTGTACAGGCCGCCTGCGCCGGAGTTGTTAGGGTTTGTAATTGCAGGTTTATGGGTTCACAGGCCGGTAAATCTGCCCATGTACAGCTAAACGCTCAAGCGCGCTAACCTTAGCATCACTCCTGCTCACTCCCACCAAGCATGACTAGCCTCAAAGCTCTGGCTTTCTCTGATATTAAGTCGAGAGGGCGGGGCAGCACGGCACACATACTGTGCGAGTGTGTGTGTGTGTGTGTGTGTGTGTGTGTGTGTGTGTGTGTGTGTGTGTGTGTGCGCGCGAGTCAGAGCAGGTCTCAGAAGACAAGATGAAAAGAGAAAAAGAAGTGAAGCATCAAACTTATCAACAATCTCTTTAAACTCTGACTATGATGATATTTCCGATTTCTACTTTATGGGTCTACGAAAACATTTGTTGGACAAATCGGCACGACTGAGTGGTCAGGATAAAAGAGAAGATGAAGATTAAAGAAGGTGTTTCATTATCACATCAAACCTCAGCTCCTTCCTTTCATGTCCCCCCCTCCGCCCTAAAAAAAAGAAGACACCTGCGTTAAAACTAACTCACATTATCCCACTCCTCCTACCTAAGCACACACAGACATGAACATCGTTGTACGGACCCTCACACACACCTTTTTTTGGGCTTGCTTGCTCTCTCTCTCTCTCTAATGTGAGTTTTTTTTTCCTTCTAATTCTCCTTGGCTTTGATGTCTTTCACTCTTTCTGCCTGATCTGGCGGAGTCACCTGGGAAGAGGACACCTATCGAGCTCCCAGGCTGTCGGCCATGAGCGAGAGAGGCCTCCGATTACTTTCGCCTAATCACGGTCCCAGCTTGATTACCAGCGGGAGCAGCCGACCTGAATGACATAAATGCTGCGCCTTTGATGGGTAGAAAAGGCCTTGTTATAGCAAAGATGAGCAATTTGCTTTGATTTTTTTTTTTTGTGCCCAGGGAAGAGCGATTGACAGCGGGTGGAAGAAGGGAGCATGGTTGGAGACAAAAGGCGGGTCAAGAGAATGAAAGCTTCTAATTTGCTGCTATCCAGATGCAGGGTTAATGAGGTGATGATACTATACAGCAGCTGTCTTCCCCGCACTTGTTCGAAATAAGGGTGACATGCTCTCTTTCTAGTGGAATGTGTTTGGTAGAAATATGAGCATAAGGCACAAGCGATTAGAGAAGTTATAGCAAGGCGGGTTGCCCTGTGAAGGACCTCATTTTCAAGCTTCTTATCTAAACGTTTAAACGCAAAAAGGAAGGGCTGTGTCTTTATAGAAAGGCAAGAATGAGAGGTGAAATGATTTTGCATGTCTTTTAAACATGATCTGACCACATTCAAAAGCATTGGCTCGTGAGAAAAGTGGAGTTTGTTTGACTTCTTCCGAAATAAAACTTGCAGCTATTTTAAAAATAAAAGTCTTTGATAAACCTGTAGATATGGGCGGGTGCTATGACATATTTCCATGGTAATGCATAATGCACAGATTAATGCACTGCAAATAATATAAATAGTGTCACTACATGTTTCAATACAGTACATCCAAGAAGACAGGTTAATGCTGAATGGTGTGATTTTTGTGGGTCAAAAGGTTAATAAGCTCTATCTGTGATATACCGTAATACATCCATCGCATGTGGACGCCTCTGATGGAATATGTAATTCAAGCATGTAATTTACTGTCAGAACATTTTCACTTCCCTCCATCTTTTCAACCCCTTGGCAACAGTGACCTCTATCTCACAGCTACACTCCGCAATCACCAGCTGCAGCAAAATGCATCTATTCAGTGTGAGCTGTTGCTTCATAGCAAAGTGTGATTGTGATGGTGGAGGGTTGTGTTTGGAGGGTGGATGAGGGCATGATGCATCTATTTCTGCAATAAGTCCACTCTGATGCTGGCGCCTGTGTGACAGAGATATCACAGTAAACTGAATATCATTTTTCTGAGACATGAGATATGAGCGTGAGCTGCTTCACGGGCTGCGGTGCTGTCTGGGGGGGATGAAAGGAGGGAGAGGAGAGAATCAAGGGACAGGTTCATCCAGCCCGCGTGTGATATCTGAAAGCGGTTATGCAATGGACTAGGAGAAGGAGCGATGACGTCCTGGCGCCTTTGACAAGTTACGACAAGATTTCACTGGGGAAGAAAGTAGTCCAACACAACTTATTATTTCTCTTTTTAGTTTCTCACAGGAATAAACAAGATGTGTAACAAGTTCAGTTATTTTTGATCTGTTGGTCATTGATTTTAGGCTGATTTTTTTCTTTCAGTGGACGGAGCCATGTTAATAGTTTACCCAGTTTATAGTGTTTATTCTAAGCTATGCTAACCACCTGTTGACTTTGAGTTATTTTATAAGGGGTGTCTTCATACCATGTTAACATTAGGCTAAGTAATATAATATTATAAGCTTTGTATAAATTAATTGTGCTTTGTAATCTTCACATCTTACTTCCATCCTCTAATCTTCACATCCACACAAACTTGCCCCTCTCCTCTCTTCATATCCACAGAGCAGCTCGTCCCGCCCCAATTCATTCAGTTTCATTTTTTCGTGAACTTCTTCTCCTTTGACAACATCCACCATCATCTGCAGCAGTATCAAGATGATCAAATAACATTGCTCTTGTTATACAATGTATTACTCTATATTCCTTCATAACATCAGGTGATCCGGTTGTGTGGAGTTTTTTTTGATGACATAGCATATCTCAACAATCATCCTAAACTAAGAGTGCAGGACAGCATCAGGAGCGTGCTGCTGCAGAAAATATAATAATGACCGTTACTTTCGTTTAAACATGAGAAAAAAAGTTTTTGTTGTTTGGGTTGCATCAGCAGAGTAATGATGAATAAGGGGATCATTAGGACACAATAATAAAACACTGCAGGTTTATAGAGTTAGGTGGCTTTATCACTATGAGAGGGTGTCTTGGGTACAATTCATTATGTAACTCCCCATTCAGACTTTCATATTTGG